TTTTCTGAACCCTTCCAAGTTTCACAACATCCTTCCCATAGTAGGGAGACCAGAACTGCACACATTATTCCAATCGTGGCCTAAACAATGTCCGGTACAACCGGAACATGACCTCCCAACTCCTGTACTCAATGCACTGGTCAATAAAATTCCCAAAGGGAAATAGATCTGTCCTTAGTATTGAGGCCAAAGAACAAACACAGGAATGATCTTGCTGCACAATTGCAGCAAGACTCCTGTGCTTCAATTACCCTTGCGATAAATTCCAAAATGACATTTAATCTCCTCACTCCTTGCTGTGCTTGCACAGTAACTTTGCTTCTTGCACAAAGTCATTCAAATCCCTCTGAACATTGTCACAAGTGTGTACTGACAGTATTATGTACTTTGTGAAGAAAGCGGATCTGCCTTTAAAATGGACACAACGAATTGTACACAACGGCTTCCAGAAGGCACATGATTACCCTTGTGAATTCAACTGGAGCTGGAATCAGACTGAAATCTCTCAACAAGAAACACGAGAGCCCTTTGGAAAGTTAATGAATGTTTTCAAGGGTGAACAGAGGTGTCAAAGACAACAGCTTCTCTGAAGATGTCAGTAACTCTTTCTATCTCACCAAACCCTAGCAAAATGCTAACACAAATGGAAAACGGCAAACACAACAGAAAATGTAATTATTTTGCCTAAACGACAGCAGTGGATCTGTGCCCCAGACCTGGACTCTCCCAACAACTAAAACAGAAGCATGATTCCAGAGATTGGACAAGCAGCTTAAGTTTTTGAAAAGTCTGTAAACTGCTATTTTAAGGAGAATTATCTGGACACTTACAGGAGAGCAGAAGACTGTTGTAATGGGCAGCACAGTGGCTCAGTGGTTAATATTGATGCCTCATAGCACCAGGGACCTGGGTTTGATTCCAGCCTCGGGCAACTGTCTGTGTGGAGTTTGCACATTCTCCCTGTGTCTGCGTGGGTTTCCTCCGGGTGCTCCGGTTTCCTCCTACAGTCCAAAAATGTGCAGGTTACGGTGGATTGGCCATGGGGAATGCGGGATTACAGGGAAAGGGCTGAGGGGTGTGTCTTGGTGGCATGCTCTTCAAAGGGTCAGTGTGGATTCGCCAGGCCGAATGGCCAGCTCCCATACTGTAGGGACTCAGTGAAACCAAGCTAACTAGTAAGAGTCACAACCAGAGTCACAACCACTCAGCCACTCACAGGATATCCACCTATAGAAACCACTTCCAACTAATTGACTACAGAAAAAGTGAAATCTGATCACTTTGGAAAGAGAATCCTCAAGGAAGTCACAAAATCATACAGTACAGGAGGGCCTTCAGCCCAGCACTGCCAAAAGAAAAATCTACCTACCTATGCTAGTCCCACTTTCCCTCAGTCAGCCCATAGGCCTGAATGTAATGACAACTCAATGCTCAAAGAAGTACTTTTTAAAGGTTGTGAAGTCCTATGACAAGAATAGAAACTGATCTTGCTTCTATCTTTACATGTGACTTTTATCTTCTTCTCAATCTTTGTACTTCTATTTTCATGAATAATTTAAATTGTATTTTGCTTAAATAACTTCCAGCAACAGTCATGTAATAAACTGACCTTATGTCTCAGTTAAAGCATAAAGTCATGCTGCTGATTATTTTTAACTCAAACTAAAAAGAGATGACATAGAAGATTGTATAAATTTTAAGTCAAATCCCATCAAGGACATGTGTAGTGTGTGTTTGGGACAACATTCACACTTTATGGTTTCTCACCATTTTAAAAAATATTCTATTTTTTTCTATTGTTTTATCAAAATAATGAACAGTGCAAATTCTCACATCATATTCCATCTGCCACTTGCCTGCCCACTCATCTATATTATCAATAGTCCTTTGCAATTTCTTTGTGTACACACAATGTACTTTTCCACTTAGCTTTGTTCTGTCCGCAAACTTTAGATACATTTCACTCAGTTTTGTCATCCAAGTCTCTTCATGTATACTCTAAATAGCAGGGGCCCTTGTGTGGATCATTGTGGAATCCCACGAGTAACAACCTGTCGACCAACTTCATTTAAATATCGGAACAAAAACAGAAATTGCTGGAAAAGCTCAGCAGGTCTGGCAGCATCTGAGAAGAAAAATCAGAGTTAAAAATCAGAAGGTTCTGAGGAAGGGTCACCGGACCCGAAACATTAACTCTGATTTCTCTTCACAGATGCTGCCAGACCTGCTGAGCTTTTCCAGCAACTTCTGTTTTTGTTCCTGATTTACAGCATCTGCAGTTCTTTCGGTTTTTACTTAAACGTACGCAGCTTGTTTTTATTGCCGTTCCAACCCCCTAAGTACTGGAGGATGATTACTCCTTTGAGCTAATGATGTCAATATGGGTGAGAATCTAAGGTTAAAAAGTGAGGTGTATGTTGCTCAGGTGTGCGCCTTCTGCATTTTACAGGTGCCTTACAGCTTCGGGTCATATTGTCCTAATGAAGCCAACTCTGCCTGTTCACTCTGTGCCTTAGAGCCACCTGCTCGCAGTCACATGAAAACAAGCAGATAATCACTCGCCAACAAATACTCTCTCAGTTTCAAACTAAGAGTACACATCACGTACAAACTTGGCCTGACTGTGAGAAAATTAGCCAGTCACATGTCAACTTAAAAACTAATGAATGCCTAGCACCTTGCCTTCTGGATACTGTAAATTTGTATGACAGTGCCTTCACAGTTACGTTTTGCAAATGAGTTTCTAGTTTCAAGAGACATTAGTATACTTCACAAAAAATTAGCCTTTGATCTGAATTCTTGGGTTTAACTCTCCCATTATGAAAGATTCAAATTGAAAATACCAAGTGCTCAGTGAAACATTGAGAAAGAGGTGAAGAGTGTATTGTATAAACTACAGGAAGTGAGGAGGGGGACATGCCCCTATCTACATCAGTGGAGCTGAGGTGGACAGGGTCCATACTGTGAGGCTCCTGGGGGCTAGCCATAAACAACAATTTGTCCTGGTCCATCCACATAGATGTGACGGTCAGGAAGGCACAATGACTCCACTTTTTCCTCAGCAGGCAAAGGAAATTCAACATGTCCGTAAGAACCCTCACTACCTTTTACAACTGTACCACAGAAGGCAGTCTACCTGTGTGTATAACAACTTGGTATGGCAACCGCTCTGCCCAGGACAGTAAGAAACTTCAGAAAGTTGTGTACACAGCCCAGTCCATCACACAAGGCAACCTCCCATCCACTGAATCCATCTATACTTCTCGCTGCTGTGGAAAAGCAGCCAACATCATTAGAGACTCCCTCCCACTCCAGTTATAATCTCTTCCAACCTCTTCGGTCAGGCAGAAGGTACAAAAGCTTAAACACGCACCAACAGGTTCAAGGCAGCTTCTTCCCTGCCGTTATTAGACTGCTGAATGGACCTCTCTAATTTCAAAACTAATGTTGATCTTGCTTTTGTACACCTTCTGTGCAGCCATAACTTTGTATGTCTTGCTCTGTTCAATCATCCATATGTCCTTGTATGTTATGATCTGCCTGTACTGCATGCAAAACAAAACTTTTCACTGTACTTAGGTCCATGTGACTACAGTAAATCAAATCAAACCAAATAAAGGATGGAAAGCAGCAAATTCTGACAATGTGGCTTAGACAAGGATTACATAAAACAAAAATGTATCATGAAAGCATTTTACTCATTGTGTGTGTTTATTGTTTCAGTTTCCAAGATGGACTGTGCCACCCAAAAAGATAGGAGCTGCATCTGAAGTACCTGATGCCCAGCAAGAAACGTTTTTTTTTAAGTTTTAAAGTGCTGATATACTTCACAGATGAAGTAGCAATATAAAAATAATGTAAAATAAAGTCTAAAATCAATGGTCTGGGCACTGGCCTTTTAATTCAGCCACTTTTAATTAGCAAACCACTAAAACCAGTTGGAAGTATTGCACCATACATGCTATCATTACCCAGGAGCCTGGTGCTACACGAGATACAGTTTCCCTTTTAAAAAGAAAGACATGGATTACTTTTGCTGGATTAGCCCCAAAATAATGAAGCTCCAATTTTTCCCTTTATCAGTGAGGAATTTTGGAAACCAAGTTTACATAAGATAGTTTCAGAGAACATTGAGGAAGAGGAATCGTTGGCTTTCCAATGTATACAACTGTGCTTTTGGCATCATTTCTGCAATCATATAACTGCGAGTAGGCGGGCCTAGAATGTGGAAAAAAAGGGTCCAATGTTTGGATAAGCATGTCAATGTATTAAAGTGCTGCACTGACAGCCAGTCTCTCACTGACCAGCTAGAGCTAGAGGTTTAATATTAAAAAAGGCACTTTCAGTTTTAGAGGGGAGAACACAATGATGGCAAGTAGGAATAATGTTTAATGATGTTGCTGTAAATCCAACTGATCACAAAGCACACCAACCCGCACACACAGGGACACCATAGCTAAAGAGAGAATGCTCAACACCAAAAATCAAACATTATTAATTCCGGCACAATTACACGGGAAATAACAAAGCAGCCTTGATGTTTCTCAACCCGGGAATGCGCTCTAACCTCTGCAATTCAATGCAGGCAGAGTTTAAAACGTTAACTTGGCAGCAAATGCTGCACCCACACAATACCCTGGCCCTCTCAGTGCCCCCTCCCTTTCCTTACCCACCATAAAAACCATCATGGTATTTCCAATTTGTTGGTGAGAACATGAGGAGCCCGCACATCCTCCCGGAGCTCCGGGCTGGGCTCAGCAGTGAGAGCTCCGGGAAGGGGACTGTTGTCCCGACTACCCAGCCAGGGACACTGTGCTCCAGGATCGGAAATCTTCAAGGACACGCTCCTCGGCCGTGAAACTGCACAAAGTCGGGTATGGGAGGGTCCATGGCATCTCTGTGTAATGTAGGATCCTGAAGGGAAGGTAAGGGCTGCGTCCCTGTGTATTGGAAAGGAGTGTGTCCAAGCTGCCTCTACAGTGAGGGATACTGTAACTAACCTGCACAGCAGCAGGGCTCCGGTTCCTCATTCCACGCTCAGATCACTGCACCGACAGCCAGGCTGTTGTCGTTGCCTGCCCACAGTCTTCCTCCCTCCCTCCCTCCCTCTCTCTCTCTACTTCAATCCTCCAACAGTTAATACCACATCTGGCTGAGGCTGCTTCACCAATCAGCAGCTCAGTGAACCGGCCAGTGTTTCAGAGAGACACAACACCAGCCATTAGCCTGTAAGAGCTCCGAGCTGGGGGAATGCGTCATGCAAGCTAACTGGGCTGAACTAGTAACTCCCTGTCAAATAACAGCAGCTAGCTTGCTGCCACTCACACATCAGGCGTGGAGAAGGCACGCTCAAAGATGCTGGGGGAGAAAGAAGGAGGAAGCAATTACTTCCTCCCTTTCTCTTTTAAAAAAAATACACCAGATAGTTTCCAGCTCGCCAAAAACTGACTTATTGTTCAAGCTAAACCACACACTGCCCGTCATTCTGGCGAAAATACAGCAAGATTTCTACTGAAACTGCATGACCTCACATTCTGCCTACACATATTCATTTAAAAATTACATTTAGAAATGAAATGACAGTTTACAGTTACATATAAAGGAGTATAAGCAGAAAATGCTTGATTCTGATTCAGGCCACATATGAAGACGCATTTCAGGGATTAAATGTGAAGATTTAACGAGGTATTGGTTTAATTTTAACACATATCTAAATTAAACACAAACACTTTTCCTCAGTTCTAAGTGATCTTTAATAAGTTTTAAAACTAGACTAATTCAGATTCTAATAAAATTCTTAAAATATAATCAGAAATAAAAAGAAAATAATCGAGAGGTAAATATCTGATAAGTGAAAAATCTGCAAGCAGTTTGACAAACTGAACAAACATTTAAAAAGTACTGCTGCAGTGTTCAGAAATTTTATAAGCGGAGAAACATGTTGCAAAAATGTAGAATCTTCAACTGAACATTGCACAGCGCAGCTTTCACAACCTCAGGGTATCCCAAAGTACTTTACAGTCAATGAAGTATTTTCATAGTATAGTCACTGTTTCCAATATAGGCATGATGATGTGCTCAAGTCTCTAAAGTGGCAACTCTAAGGCTTATGGTCCTGATGACACTCAGCATCAACAAAAGGCACATCTGCAAACTCTCACACTGAGAAAATATCCACCAATATAAATGGAAGAGTTTCTACAGGTACATGAAGAGAAAGAGATTGGTGAAGACAAATGTAGGTCCCCTACACAGAGTAGTGGGGAAATATATAATTGGGGACAAAGGAAATGGCTGAGGAACTGAATGGTTCTGCCGTGACAAAGGACGACACAAATCAGATACTAGAACTGCTAGAGAGTGCAAGATTTAGTGAGAGGGAAGAGCTGAGGGAGAGCAATATTAGTAGAGAAACAGTGCTGGAAAAATTGTTGGGATTGAAGGCCAATAAATCCCCAGGGCCTGATAATCTACATCCCAGAGTACTTAAGGAAGTGACTGTAGAAATAGTGGATGCATTGGTGGTCATCTTCCAGGATTCTATAGACTCTGGAGGGTGGCTAATGTCACTCCAATATTCAAAAAGGGAGGTAGAGAGAAAACAGGGAATTATAGACCGGTGAGCCTAACATGGGTAGTGGGGAAAATTCTCAAATCCATTGTCAAAGATTTTATAGCAGAGCATTTAGAAAGCAGTGGCAGGATCAGACAGGGTCAGCATGGATTTATGAAGGGGAAATCATACTTGAAAAATCTGTCAGAATTCTGTGAAGATGTAACTAGTAGATTGGACTAGGGGAGCCAGTCGATGTAGTACATTTGCACTTTCAGAAAGCATTTTGACAAAGTCTCACGTAAGAGATTAATGTGCAAGATTAAAGTGCATGGGACTGGGGGAAGTGTATTGAGATGGATAGAAAACTGGATGACAGAGTGGAAACAAAGAATAGGAATTAATGGGTCCTTTTCAAATTGGCAGGCAATAACTAGTGGGGTGCCACAGGGATTGGTGCTGGGACCCCAGCTATTCACAGTATATAATAATGATTAGGATGGGGCAACAAAATGTAACATCTTGAAGTTTTCAAATGATACCAAGTTGGGTGGGAGGGTGAACTGTGACGATGATGCAGAGATCCTTCAGCATGATCTCGACAGGTTGGGTGAGCGGGCAGATCAATGGCAGATGCGGTATAATTTGGATAAATGTGAGGTTATTCACTTCAGATGCAAAAACAGGAAGGCAGATTACTACCTGAATGGCTGTAAATTGGGAGAGGGGAGTGTGCAGCGGGACCTGGGTGTCCTTGTGCACCAGACGCTGAAGGTAAGCATGCAGGTGCTGCAGGCGGTAAAGAAGGTATATGGTGTGTTGGCCTTCATTACGAGAGGTTTCGAAAATAGGAGTAGGGATGTGTTGTTGCAGTTATACAGGGCCTTAGTGAGGCCACACCTAGAATATTGTGTGCAGTTTTGGTCTCCTTTTCTGAGGAAGGATGCTCTTGCTCTTGAGGGAGTGCAGCGTGGGTTTACCAGGCTGATTCTGGGAATGGCAGGACTGACGGGGAGATTGACTAGGTTGGGAATGTTTTCGCTAGAGTTCAGACAAATGAGGGGGGATCTCAAAGAGACTTATAAAACTCAAACAGGACTGGACAGGATAGATGCAGGGAGGATATTCCCAATGGTGGGTGTGTCCAGAACCAGGGATCACAGTCTGAGGATTCAGGGTAGACTATTTACGACGGAGATGAGGAGACATTTCTTCACCCAATGAGTGGTGAGCCTGTGGAATTCATTACAACAGGAAGTAGTTGAAGCCAAAACATTGAAAATATTCAAGAGGCAACTAGATATAGCACTTGGGGCGAATGGGGTCAAAGGTAATGGGGAGAAAGCAGGAATGATCTGCCATGATCGTGACGAATGGCAGAGCAGGCTCGAAGGGCCGAATGGTGTCATCCTGCTCCTATCTTCTGTGTTTCTGTGTTTCTATGGAATAACACATACACACATTTTCCAAAGGTCTTTTTTTCAGGAAGGATGAAAATTTGGACAAATTCTAGGTGAAAGCTAAGCATGAAGTACCAGTAAGTCTGAGGGGAAGTCATTCCCAGCTACAGAATGATAATGACAGAAGTTACTGAATAACATCCTAAATATGCTTTGATCTCTTACCATAAGAGAAATGGAATGATGCCTGGATATGTGGAATCCCAAAAAAAAATGAAGTGCCTCTTCTTGGCTCATTCTGTCGACTAACACTTGATGGTTTATTTAATCAGAAGTTTCACAGAACAGCAGCAGAGCTAAGAGGGAAAAAAAAGTTGCAGGAAAAGAATATTGTAGAGCAACAGGTTCGAGTTCCTGAAACTAGTTATCATCCTACTGTATTAAGAACAATTTGCACTGCAATAGTATCTCATGTGTAGTAGAACATTCATTGGTATTTGTGAGGTATATTACAAAGGAAAAACTGACACCCAGTCATATGGGAACAACTAAGGAAATAAGCAAAGGCTTCATTGAAGAGTTAGTATTTAAAGAGCATCTTAAAGGAATAAAGAGATATAGAGGTGAAGGGAGGAGATGCCAAAGCTTAGAAACTTAGCAGCTGAAGGTAGGATTTCCAATAATGGGAGATGATTAAAATCAGGAATACATAAAATAGCAGAATTGAGACTGTGCAAATAACTTGAAGGGTTATAAGACTGGTGGAGATGATAGCGATGGAGGGGGTGTAGGCAGCAAGGCTATGAGTGGGGTTTGAAGATAAAGATTGAGAATTTCAAAACAAAGATATTGTTTAATTATGAGTCAATGTAAATTAATGAGCACAAGGGTAGTTATAGGTGAACAGGATTTAGATATGGACAGCAGAGTTTTAAGTTTACAAAGGACAGAACATGTTAGTTTAGCCAGAAGCACACATAAATTGTCAAGTCTAAAGGTACCAAGAGCTTGGATGAGATTTTTAGCAGCAAATGATCTGATTTTGGGCTAAGTTAGGCATAAATAGTGCATTTTTAAAGACTTGTTACATGAGATTTGTCTGCCATATTTATCCAAAAGTCCTTTATTTACGGCTAATTAATAATTGTCACCGTGATTCTTGAATTTGGAGATAAATTTTGTTATAAAAACTACAACTCCATCCCTCACCTCCTTAGTACAGCTACATATTTTATAGACAGAAAATAATGAAAAAGAGCGACAATGTTATAACCCAGTTAATAATTTCAAAAAGGATCACCTTAAGTAGTTTGTCGATATCAGGTTTAACATCAAGGCCAGATTACCATTTTCAATTATCTTTTGTCGATATTTTATGTGGTAACGTTTGAGTGTATTTTTTGTATTTTTCTGATTTTTTTTGCCTCTCCTTCAGGCATTACCAACATCTTGCTAGGGTAATCGCTTACATTGGGAGCTGAGATTTATGATATTGCTCCTTTCACTTTGGTCACTCAGAATAATTGACTCAGCTTAGGTCACAAATCAAAAAAGTCAGAAATTATGATCGGTCCATCTAGATCAGCTATTCACAAGAAAATTTCTCAGAGCCCACCATACTTTTTTTTTAAGCATTCCATTAAACAATGGGTTGGAGAGACCTGAAGGGTAACTGTAACCACGTAATTTGTTTTGACTCCAGGGTCAAAAGGTTTGTGGAATCCTCAGCCCCAGATCCATTAGCTTAAGAGGTAGACAGAGGTTCCATTCCTTACCTGAGTTCATGTAGCCCCCAAAACAAGAATGGGATGAAACATTTAAATGCCAGAAAACCACCTGGGGTTACAATGGGACTCTGCTTGAAAGACACTTAATTTCCGTCCATGATTACAGGTGGAGAAAGGATTTTTATTTTAAATAGCAGTGTCAGAATTAAGAAATAAACAAGGCTGACTGTTATTGAGAATAAATCTTTAGATCACAGAACAGTTGGAAAGAAATTAATAATATTTGTGGGCAAGGTTGTAAGGTTTTCACATGAACAGAAGTAACAACAATATGGACTTTTAATTATCTTAAACTCGTGTAAGAACAAATAATCTATAATTTATAAATTTGCATTTAAAAAGCATCTTTCAAGTC